TCAGAGAAGCTCAAGCTCTCCTTCAGATGTATCGGTTTACAGGGATGAGACAAACCATTTACCAAGGACGGGGGTGCTTACAATGATGGATGTAAAACTTTTACCCCCCCCCAAAAAAAAAAAACGCTACTGTAACGTATTATAAAGTGAGGGGCGGAGTTTTCCTTCAGCGCGTTACACACGGGTGTCAAACCGGTGGCCCTCCAGCTGCTGCCAAACTACAAGTCCCATGAGGCATTGCAAGATTGACAGCTACAAGCACGACTCCCAAAGGCAGAGGCATGATGGGACTTGTAGTTTGGCAACAGCAGGAGGGCCGCCGCTTTGACACCCCTGGTGTTAGTGTATCTAAATCTGCTAGTCCATCTATACACTCCCCTCCCCCAAGGCTGACAATGCTGCTGTCCGCAGGTGCTCCTCCCTCCAGAGTGTGGGGGGCGCTCTCGTACAGGTGGTGTGTTACGGGTGAGAAAAGGAATGCAGCCGCCACATGTGCGCTGTAACAGGATTGGTCGGACCGCGGGGGGCGGAGTAACGGACGCAGCACACAGTGAGTAGTCAGAGGCTGAGTTGTCAGATATAGATATTTATATACACAGACATTTGGTCTCCAGCACAAGGTCACAGGCAGACGTTCATGGAGCCGGGGGTATAGCGTGAGCGTGTCCGGAGTGGTCAGCACACCACGGCCACCGTGATGACCTCCCCTTCTCATCATTAAATGTTCTCGCTCCCTTACCGCCCCCCATTGGTCCGGTCACACGCCTGGAGCCGACCCCTCCCCCTCCCCATGACTTTTCACATAGATAACATTTTGGGACCACAGACAGTACAATACAATCGGCGACGTCCCCCGGGGTGCCTGGAGCTCATGTCAAGTCGCTTTGGTTCAAAACTCTGTCTTCAGCCGGTAGGCCACGGGGAGGGGGAGGGGTCCTGGCAGTGGATCTGCAGTCTCCGCCTACCGCGCAGTGGTCCGGCGTGGACCGTTTCCGGGGTCCCACACTATTTGCCGTCACGTAATCTGAGGATAAATACGAAACAGACTCGGGATGATGCAAGAGGTGGGCGGGGCTTCGCCTGATCACTGCCAGACCTGCAGCGCCTGCGAGAGTTATAGATGGTGAGGAGGGAGTTGCAGAGTCCATCGAAGGAGGGGGGAGGGGTCTTGGCAGTGGATCTGCAGTCTCCGCCTACCGTGCAGTGGTCCGGCGTGGACCGTTTCTGGGGTCCCACACTTTTTGCCATCATGTAATCCGAGGATAAATACGAAGCAGACTCAGGATGATGCAAGAGGTGGGCGGGGCTTCGCCTGATCACTGCCAGACCTGCAGCTCCTGCGAGTTATAGATTGTGAGGAGGGAGCTGCAGTCCTGGAGGGGGGGGGGAGGGGACTCCACTGGAAGTCGCTCTGAACATTCAACCGAATGAGGCTTCACCCCAGAAATGGCCCATCTGTACAAACATTGCATCCTTGGGGGAGGGGTCCGGGCAGTAAATCTGCAGTCTCCGCCTACCGTCCAGTGGTCCGGCGTGGACCATTTCCGGGGGTCCCGCACTTTTTTGCCGTCACGTAATCCGAGGATAAATACGAAGCAGACTCGGGATGATGCAAGAGGTGGGCGGGGCTTCGCCTGATCACTGCCAGACCTGCGGCCCCTGCGAGTTATAGATTGTGAGGAGGGAGTTGCAGAGTCCTGAAGGAGGGGGGAGGGGTCTTGGCAGTGGATCTGCAGTCTCCGCCTACCGTCCAGTGGTCCGGCGTGGACCATTTCCGGGGTCCCGCACTTTTTGCCGTCACGTAATCCGAGGATAAATACGAAGCAGACTCGGGATGATGCGACAGGTGGGCGGGGCTTCGCCTGATCACTGCCAGACCTGCGGCCCCTGCGAGTTATAGATTGTGAGGAAGGAGCTGCAGAGTCCATCGAGGGGGGGGGAGGGGATTCCACTGTAAGTCGCTCTCTTCGCTCTGAACATTCGGACCCCAGAGATGGCCCATCCGTCCGGACATTGAATCCTCGGGGGAGGGGCGCAGACCGCAACCAACCACTTCCCTTCCTCCAGGCCAAAAGGGGAGGGGTCACACGGTGGTCCGGCTTCTTCAATGCTGCCGCCTGCCCTCTGTACAAGCAGCATTGAGGAGGGGGGGAGGGGTACAGATCATGGAGGACACATTCGTGGGGGACACCGGGTGGGGGGGGGGGGGGGGGGGGGGGGGGGGGGTCGTAGAAAGGGGAGACGTGGAGGCTTAGTGTAAAAATAAATGTAATTTGCAGGCAATGGTGGGTGTACGGGGGGAGGGGAGGGGGGGGGTAGCAGGAGGTGCCGGGTCCCTCACTGGCGCACTTTTCCTGGCACATAATTCCTATCGATCGTTTCGTCCTGTAAGAACATATGGAGGCAACGCTCGTTCTGGGCAAGCGGTGTGTCCGGCGATCCTGCGGGGGAAGGAAACGGAAAACATCACAAAACGGCACAGAGAAATCAGAAAGGATGGAGGTACCCCCTGTGTGCTGACCCCGCCCCCCCCCCCAATACTCACCCGAGACCCCGCCCCCTTCACATGCATGGGAACCCTCGGCTGTCCCGGGTCTCTCTCTCTCTACATTGGCTGAGACACAGCAGCGGGAGCCAATGGCTTCCACCGCTGGTGCAAAGAGCAGGGGGGGGGGCGGGGCTGAGCAGCAGGATGCATCGAGGAGGGGCTCGGGATCGAGCGAGCGCACACCAGTAAATTCAATTGCTATTGGGGGGCGCTGGTCAAGAGGGAGTGGCCAGGAGCACCTGAGAAGACCGTCACAGAGCAGGTAATATGACAGCTTTATTGGAAAAAAAAAAAAACAAAAAAAAAAAACACTTTAACTCCTCCCCTTCCAGAGGATTCCCCCCCTTCCTGGCCACCGTGTGACCTAAAAAAAAAATGGCAAAACCCAATATTTCATTCTCTGGGGCCCCTGCTTTAAAAAAAAAAAAATATATATATAATATTTGGGGGTTCTAACTCATTTTCTAGCAAAAAAATATTGATTTTTACAAAAAAAAAGTCATATAAAAGGGCCTGGAACCCTGTCCACTCTGTGTATAGGGAAGGGACTCCTGGGAGGTGTAGCTCTGGAGATGGAGACATGCTTGACCCCCGTAGCCCTGCCCACACTCTGTGTATAGGGAAGGGACTCCTGGGAGGTGTAGCTCTGGAGACATGCTTGACCCCCGTAGCCCTGCCCACACTGTGTATAGGGAAGGGACTCCTGGGAGGTGTAGCTCTGGAGACATGCTTGACCCCCGTAGCCCTGCCCACTCTGTGTATAGGGAAGGACTCTTGGGAGATGTAGCTCTGGAGACATGCCTGACATTACCCCCAAAAGAATTCTACAAGGCTGGTGATGATGTCACAGGAAGTAATAACATTTTACAGTGACAACAAAACTAAAAATGTTCCTTGCATTTTTTTATTTCTCTGCGGCCCCCCTCCCTGTGTGAAGGGGAAAGGGGGGGGGGGGGGGGAACAGATCCAGCGCTGTGCACGCTCTTCCTCCTCACCCCGGGACACAAAGAGCAGCAGGAGCCATGGAGTCAATGAAATGCAGTGAGGAGGAAAAAGGGCGGGCCCCCCCCCCCCCCCATCTCCCCCCCCCCCCCCCCCCGTCCTACTAGACACACAGCTTGGGAGCGAGAATGCTCCGTGTGCCCCCACAGCAAATGGCTTGCTATGGGGACACACGAAGAGGAGGAGCCAAGATCACCAATAGGGGACACCGGAAGAAGAGCATCAGGGGCGGCTCTGTGCAAACCCACTGCACAGAGTCGGCGAATACAACATGTTTGTTTATCTTTTAACCCCTTTATCTTCATTAACCCCCTTGCCTACCGAGCGCTGTCACCCCCTTCCTGCCTACCGAGCGCTGTCACCCCCCCTTCCTGCCGCCGGGCGCTTCTACCCCCTTCCTGCCTGCCGGGCGCTTCTACCCCCTTCCTGCCCGCCGGGCGCTTCTAGCCCCTTCCTGCCCGCCGGGCGCTTCTAGCCCCTTCCTGCCCGCCGGGCGCTTCTTAGCCCCTTCCCGCCCACAGGGAACTCCCCCCCTTCCCGCCCGCGGGGCACTTCTAGCCCCTTCCCGCCCACAGGGGCACTTCTACCCCCTTCCTGCCCACAGGGCACTTCTACCCCTTCCCGCCCACAGGGCACTTCTACCCCCTTCCTGCCCACTGGGGGCACTTCTACCCCCTTCCCGCCCACAGGGCACTTCCACCCCTTCCCGCCCACAGGGCTACTTCCACCCCCTTCCCGCCCACAGGGCACTTCCACCCCCTTCCCGCCACAGGGCACTTCCACCCCCTTCCCGCCCACAGGGCACTTTTACCCCCTTCCCGCCCACAGGGCACTTTTACCCCCCTTCTACCGCCCACAGGGCACTTTTACCCCCTTCCCGCCCACAGGGCACTTTTACCCCTTCCCGCCACAGGGTACTTCTACCCCCTTCCTGCCTACAGGGCACTGCCACCCCCTTCCAGTCCGGACACTTTCCCCCCAGGCCAATTTTCACCCTCCCCCCCGCCCCCGCGCCCCCCAGGCCTTTCAGCGCTATCACACTTTGAATGACAATTGCGCGGTCATGCAACACTGGACCCATATGAATTTTTTACCATTTTTCTGAGACAGGTAAAGCTTTATTTTGGTGGTATTTATTCACCGCTGGGATTCTTATTTTTTTTTGCTATGTAAATGAAAATGTCCAAAAATTTTGAAAAAAAGTGTTTTTCTTATAAAATGTTGCAAATAAATAATATTTCATTATAAATCTCGGCCAAAATTTATTCCGTTATATTTTTAGTAAAAAAGAAAAAACACAAATTAGTTTATAACCAGAAATTATAATTTTTAAACTTTTTTTTCACATTTTTATGTTTATTTTTTTTTTTACATACTGTCACCCTAGCAGTGTGGGGTCACCATGTACTACTTGTGGGGGGTGATGAAGATTTTTTTTTTTTTTTTTTTTTTTTTTTACACTGATTGCTTTTACACCCATAAAGGCTGTAAAAGCAATGATTTTTCTCCTCTCTGGCTGCATTCCTGCAGCCATTGAGAAATACTGTGTGAGCTGTGATTGGTCACAGCTTGTCACATGGTACAAGGCTCTTGTGAATAGCCCTGTACCAAGTGATCTCTGTGATCATTCACAGATTTCACACGTAGTAAGCAATGATGTCAGAAGTGACATCATTGCTTACGACTTTGCAGGTGATCACTGATTGGCCAATCAGTGATCACCTGCAAAGTCGTAAGCAATGATCTGCAAAGTCGTAAGCAATCAGAAGTGACATCATTGCTTACGACTTTGCAGGTGATCACTGATTGGCCAATCAGTGATCACATGATCGGGACGTCGTACAGAGGTCCCTCACGACGATCGGTGTTTCACTGTGTCTGGAGGACACAGCGGGCACCGGATCGCGGTGCTGCGCGCACAAGCAGGGTGCGAGGAGACTGTTTATAAACGGCCACCCGCCCCTGCAGTGCCACCGTCTGGCCGTTTATATACAACAGCCGGATGGAAAGTGGTTAACAACCACAAAGAATAAGGTGCAGCAAGACGGACTTTTTGGTGCGCTTTCAGAAACCGCCGGATATAGTAGCCTATGGCAACCACGGGTACACGCTATGGGCAAACCGCGGCACGGCGGTGTGAAAGTGGCCTTTGCTCAGCAAGTCAAACCAAACGAACTTTGTCCTGTGAACATAAAATCGATGGATGCAATCTCCAAAAACAAAAGTAACAGAACACTACGGGGTCGATTTATACAGAATCGTTGGACGAACGTCGCGAGCATTCACCCGGCCATCACAAATTCTCACTGTAGTTTTCCTGATATAGATTTCTTATGGTCGCCAGCTCCATCTACTGGCCATAATTCGGTATTTTCCTGAAATACCTCAGGCAGGAAAATATCACAATATGACCATTAGAGGGAGCTGGAGATTAATTGTAATAGGCAGCTGGGCGAAGGCTTGGTACATTCGGTCAGCCATTTTTCTTTTTCCCATAACCAGACCCCGATGCAAAGTATTTAGGGCCACATTTACGTTTTTGGTGTATTTTTGATAGCGGTTTACCAACACTTCTCCGGGGCAGAACTGGGTGGAGAAACTAAAGCAGCAGAAAGGGTCACCAGCCCACAGGATCTGCCTGGTGTCTGAAATCTGGCATCGGGTGGAGCTCATCTGTGCTCCTCCCACAAGAACTGACCAATGATCTCAGCAAGTCATTGAAGCTTTATTGTTCCGACAACATGCACAAAGAAGCCCCGCCTCAGAACTTCCCGGCTGTGAAGCCGGCTTTATCATAGAGGAGCGAAGGGCTACTTCTACAGTCAATGTGTGCAATGTTCTTTGTGCGTCTCGTCCGGAACAATAAAGCTTTGTTGAAAGGCTGAGTACAAAAGTCTAGTTGCCCTTTAAATCTTTACAAAAGGCATGATAGGTGAGAAGACATTACTTGTTTATAAATTGCTCCAAGCCTTGTCGTCGCTCTTCAATGAATGACTCTTCAAAGATTCCTTCATCCCCTCGAAACGGGAGCTGTCTCTTCAGCGCCTTCCGGGTAATGGCGGCACCACAATCTGTGGAAAGAAAACCGCAACGGACACAATTATTACATCGTGATATCAGGAGAGGGGGCCAATGTCCCCTTCACAGACCAACCGAGCCAACTAGACGTTGGTCGTTATTGCACACGCTCTACTGCCAATCACTGGTGGTCACCGAAAGTACCTACAAGAGCTTGTTGGATATCCATGGTTCCAAAAACCATGACCATTAATGTTGAGTTGACCCCCCATAATTCTGTGGCTATACCATCCTCCACTCTTTTGGGAAGACACAGAGGGATTTCTGAGGGAATTTGTGCCCATTTGTGAGGTCAGGTGCTGATGTTGGATGAGAAGACCTGGCTCACCACAGCAAAAACCCCACATTCGGTGCCAAAAAAAAAAAAAAAAGACCTATCCAAACTCATCTCGAAGGGTTCAGTATGGGAGGGGCTCTGTTCAGGACGCTCGAGTTCCTCCAGGAACCTCAAACCTACTGAACACCTTTGGAAGGAATTGGAACACCAACAGTCAGCCAGGTCTTCTCCAATATCAGTACCTGACCTAACAAATATCCACAGACACCCTGCAAAATCTTGTGGGGTTCTTTCCCAGAAGAGTGGAGCTGGCTCCATAAAAAACATGGTTGTACCAGTTTGGCCAGATGGAGCTCGAGTGTCCTACACAGAGCCTTGACCTCAACCCTACCATTTGGAGACATTCGGTATAAAGTCTCATCAAAACATCAGTACCTGCCCTTAACCCTATGGAAAACTTTGGGATGAGGTATTCTCATCCCAAAGGTGTTTAGTAGGTTTGAGGTCCTCTAGGAACTCGGAATGTTCTACACGGAGCCCTGACCTCAACCCTACAGAACACCTTTGGGATGAATTGGAATCCCAATGGTAAGCCAGCTCTTCTCATCCAACATCAGTACCTGACCTCACAAACAGTCACAAAGTCCCAACAGGCACCCTCCAGAATCTTATGGAAACCTTCCCAGAAGAGTGGAGGACGGTTTTTATAGCCACAATATTAGGGGGGGGGAGAGGCCAACAACCAAAGGTATTCTGTAGGATTAAAGGCAGATATTGATGCTGGATATAAGAAGACCTATACCAGAGGTCTTCCAAAAAGTAAGGTGGAGGTCAAGACTCTGTGCAGGACACTTGAGTTCTTCCACACCAAACTGGTCAAAGCCATGTCTTTATGGAAGTGGCTCCACTCTTCATATAGTGTTGGCTTCCTTTGTGGCTCTAACAACCTCCAATCTTCTGGGAAGATTTTCGGGCTCCTCAAGATTTTGGAGGGTAGTTTACGGGAATTTGTGTAACTGGCATTTGTGAGGTCAGGTACTAATGCTGGATGAGAAAACCAGAAAAGTCTCACCATCAGAATTCCAATTCATCCCAAAAGGTGATCAGTAGTGTTGAGGTCAGGGCTCTGTACAGGACACCAGAGTTCCTTCACCCCAAAATGGTCTTTATGTAACTGGCTTTGTACACGGGGGACAGTCGTGGTGGAACAGAAAAGGGTCTTCACCAAACTGTTACCACAAGGGTGGGAGAGCACAATTGTCTCCAATGTCTTTGTATGATGGAGGATTACCAGGACCCTTCAATGGACACCTGAACTCCACCAGGGGGGGGGGGCTTCACATCATTTGGGCCATATAGCCTATCAGTTTGGATGATCCTATTACGATTATTGGTAGAGTTCTTTGATCATGAGCCTCCAAAAGCAGGACTGATGTTGGATAAGAAGGCCTGGATCACAATCGGCAATCAGTAGGGTTGAGGTCAGGGCTCTGTACAGGACACTGGAGTTCCTTCACACCAAACTGGTCCTCCGTGTCTTTATAGAGCTGGCTTTGTACACGGGGGACAGTCATGGGGGGACAGAAAAGGGTCTTCACCAAACTGGTCATCCATGTCTTTATGGAGCTGGCTTTGTACACAGGGGACAGTCATGGGGGGACAGAAAACTGGTCAATATGGAGATGCCCTCTTTTGTGGCTATAATTCCTCCATGAACTCACCCCTACTGAACACCACTGGGGTGAGGAGACCTCATGCCAGACGTGTTCCGTAGGGTTGAGGGCAGCTACTGATGTTGGGTGAGAAGACCCGGCTCACCATCCACACTCCACCCCAAAGGTGTTCAGTAGGGAGAGGTCAGGGCTCTGTGCAGGACACTCGAGTTCCTCCATGACCTCACCCCTATTGAAACACCATTGGGGTGAGGAGACCTCATGACAGACGTGTTCCATAGGGTTGAGGGCAGGTACTGATGTTGGATGAGAAGACCTTATACCAAAAGTAGGCTTGAGGTCAGGGCTCTGTACAGGATACTGGAGTTCTTCCACACCAAACTGGTCCTCCATGTCTTTATGGAGCTGGTTTGTACACGGGGGGACAGTCATGGGGGGACAGAAAAGGGTCTTCACCAAAATGGTCCTCCATGTCTTTATGGAGCTGGCTTTGTACACGGGGGACAGTCATGGGGGGACAGAAAAGGGTCTTAACCAAACTGGTCTTCCATGTCTTTATGGAGCTGGCTTTGTACACGGGGACAGTCATGGGGGGACAGAAAAGGGTCTTAACCAAACTGGTCTTCCATGTCTTTATGGAGCTGGCTTTGTACACGGGGGACAGTCATGGGGGGACAGAAAAGGGTCTTCACCAAACTGGTCCTCCCATGTCTTTATGGAGCTGGCTTTGTACACGGGGACAGTCATGGGGGGACAGAAAAGGGTCTTCACCAAACTGGTCCTCCATGTCTTTATGGAGCTGGCTTTGTACACAGGGCACAGTTATGGGGGGACAGAAAAGGGTCTTCACCAAACTGGTAATCCATGTCTTTATGGAGCTGGCTTTGTACACGGGGGGACAGTCATGGGGGGACAGAAAAGGGTCTTCACCAAACTGGTCATCCATGTCTTTATGGAGCTGGCTTTGTACACGGGGGGGGGGGGGGGGGGGGTAGTCATGGGGGGGACAGAAAAGGGTCTTCACCAAACTGGTCCTCCATGTCTTTATGGAGCTGGCTTTGTACACGGGGGACAGTCATGGGGGGACAGAAAAGGGTCTTCACCAAACTGTTACCACAAGACTGGAAGAGCACAATTGTCTCCAATGTCTCTTTGTATGGTGGAGGATTACCAGGAGCTGACACTGGAGACACATATTTGAAGGAGTTCAACATACTTTTGGCCACTGTACACATCTTCAATCCTTCCAATAGAAAAACCTTCATGAAATCAGACCTGGCTCCATATTTCTGGTGCCCCTGGATCAGGAAGGGCCCACCGTTAGATGGGTGGTCGGGACACCATGTACTCGGTGACTTGGTTGCTCACCTTACTGTCCCTCTCCAGTTCATTCTTCAACCACTCGAAGTCGCTGTACCGCCTCCGCACACAGGAATCCTTCAGCTTGAAGATTGGCAGGTTTGTCTAGAAGAGGGACAGATTCATATCAATGGTGGTCATCATCCATTGTTTCACCGAACTCACGGCCGGGAACACAAACCACCGAGCCAGACGAACCGCGTGAGGGGGAAAAGGACCGCGTGAGGGGGGAAAGGATAACCGCGTGAGGGGGAAAGGACCGCGTGAGGGGAAAGGGACTGCGCCATTTATCCTGTTCCACCAGAAAAGGAGATGATGGAAACACACCACAGCCCAGATCTGGCACAACGACAGTTGCAGCCAATCACGCCTGAGGGGGGGGGGGGTTCCCCTTCTGATGTCCCCTGTCCCACCTCCTCCCTCCTTGACTATTGCCCGGCATCCTCCGACTCCCTGGAATTAATGGCACACACCCCAAGAGGCGGCGGCAGGACCAATCTCACAGCACGGGCTTTAAAGTGTTACTGAACCCCCCACACAGTACAATCCGTCTGCAGATGCAGCAAAGC